AAGCAATAGAAGGGAAAGAAAAGATAAATTAGACTTCATCAAACTACAGAACTTTTTGTGAGGACTTTATCGACAAAGTGAACAGCCTACAGATTGAGAAAGAATTTGGGGATCCATGTGCCAGATAAGGATTTATATTCAAAACATATAAAGAATTTCTAAAAGTCAACAATAAAAAGACAAACAACCCAATCAAAAAATGAACAAAGGACTTGAATTTCACCAAAGAAGATAAACTGATAACCAACAAGCATATGAAAAGATACTCAGCATCATTGGTCATTAAACCAGACTCACTTCCATCAAGTTGATTCTGACTCACAGCGACCCCTTTGGGTTTCTAAGGAGGTAAATCTTTACCAGAAGTGGATTGCCCAGTCTTCCTTCACAGAGTGGCTGGTGGGTTTGAACTGCCAACCTTCTGGTTAGCAGTCCAATGTCTTAGGCACTGCACCACCAGAGGGAAATATAAATCAAATCATAATAAGTTACCACTTTGCCCCCACTAGGATGGCTGTGATTTAAAAAAGAAAGAAAGAAAAAGGAAAAACAACAGATGTTAGTGAGACCTAGTGGAAATTGGAACTCTTCACCATTGTTGATGGAAATGTAAAATGGTGTAGCTGCTATGGAAAACAGGTTGGTGGTTCCTCAAAAAGTTAAACAGAATTAACATATGACCCAGCAATTCCACTCCTAGGTATGAACTCAGAAGAATTGAAAACAAGAATAGATACTTATACGGCTGTGTTCATTGCAGTACTTTTCAACAGTAGCCAAATGGTGGAAATGACCTAAATGCCCATCAGCAGATGAATGGATAAACAAAATGTGGTGTATACATATAATGGAATATTGTTGTTGTTAGGTGTTGAGTTGGCTTCTGCTCATAGTGACCGTGTGTGCAAAAGTAGGAAATACTACCCAGTCTTGCACCATCCTCACAGCCGTTGCTTTGTTTGAGCCCATTGTTACACCCACTGTGTCAATCTGTCTCGTTGAGGGTCTTCTCCTTTTTTGCAGACCCTCAACTTTACCAAGCATGATACCCTTCTCCAGGGGCTAGTCCATTCTGACAACATAACCAAAGTAGGTGAGACGAAGTCTGGCCATTCTCAACTCTAAGGAGCAGTCTGGCTGCACTTCTTCCAGGACAGGTTTACTCATTCTTGTGGCTGTCCATGGTATTTTCAGTATCCTCTGCCAACCCCACAACTCAAAAGCATCAACTCTTCTTTAATCTTCCTTATTCATTGTCCAGCTTTCACATGCATATGAGGTGATTGAAAATACCATGGCTTGGGTTAAGTGCACTTTAGTCTTCAAAGTGACATCTTTGCTTCTTAACACCTTAAAGAAGTCTTTTGCAGCAGATTTGCCCAGTGAAATACTGATTCTTGACTATGCTTCCAAGGGTGTTGATTGTGGATCAAAGTAAAATGAATTCCTGACAACTTAAGTCTTTTCTCCGTTTATCATGGTCTTTGTTGTTGGTCCAGTTGTAAGGATTTTTTATTATGTTGAGGTGTAATCCATACTGAAGACTAGTCTTTGATCTTTACCAGTTAGTGCTTCAAGTTACCATCTTTGCTTTCAGCAAGCGAGGTTGTGTTATCTGCATATCTCAGGTTATTAATGAATCTTCCTCCAATCCTGATGCCTCATTCTTCATATAGTCCAGCTTCTCAGATTATTTGCTCAGCATAAGATTGAATAAGTATGGTGAAAGGGTACAAACCTGACGCACACCCTTCCTGATTTTAAACTGGGAAGTATCCCCTTGTTCTTTTTGTACTATAGCCTCTTGGTCTATGTGCAGTTTCCTCCATGAGCACAATTAAGTGTTCTGGAATTCCCATTCTTCACGATGTTATCCAAAATTTGTTATGATCCACGCAGTCCCATCCCTTTGCATAGTCAATATTAACACAGGTATTTCTGGTATGCTTTGCTTTCCAAGAGCCATCTGACATCAGCAGTGATATCCTTTGCCCCACATCCTCTTCTGAATTCAGCTTGCATTTCTGGAAGTTCCTTGTCAATGCTGCTGCAACTGTTTTTTAATTATCTTCAGCAAATTTTTACTTGCATGTGATATTAATGATATTGTTTGGTAAGTTCCAAATTCTCTTGGATCACCTTTCTTTGGAATGAGCACAAATACTGATCCAGTCAGTTGGCCAGGTAGCTGTATTCCAGATTTCTTGGCATAAATGAGTGAGTGTCTCCAGCACTACATCTGTTTGTTGAAACATCTCAATGGGTATTATGTCAATTCCTGGAACCTTGGTGTTTTTGGTTTGTTTGTTTGTTTGTTTTGCCAATTCCTTCAGTGCAGGTTCAGCTTATTTCTTCAATACCATTCGTTCTTGATCATGTGCTGCCTCCTGACATAGTTGAACATCAACCAGTTCTTTTTGGTATGGTGACTCTTTGTATTCCTTCCATCTTCTTATGACGAGTCTTGCATCATTCATTATTTTGCCCATAGAATCCTTCAGTATTGCAACTTGAGGCTTAAATTTTTTCTGCAGTTTTTCAGCTTGAGAAATGCCAAGCATGTTCTTCCTTTTTGGTTTTCTAACACCAGGTCTTTGCACATTTCATTATAATAATCGACTTTGTCTTCTGAGCTGTTCTTTGAAATCTCTTTAGCTCTTTTATCTTGTCATTTCTCCCATTTGTTTTAGCTACTGTCCATTTAAGAGCAAGTTTTAGAATCTTTTCTGACATCCATTTTAGTCTTTTCTTCCTTTCCCATCTTTTGAATTACCTTTTTCTTTCTTCATGTATGATGTTCTTAATGTCATCCCACAACTCGGCTGGTCTTCAGTCATTGGTGTTCAGTGCCTGAAATCTGCCCTTCAGATGGTGTCTAAATTCTGATGGGATATAATCAAGATTATACTTTGGCTCTCATGGACTTATTTTAATTGTCTTAAGCTTCATCTTGAACTTACGTATGAGCAATTGATTGTCTGTTTCACAGTCAGCTCCTGGTCTAGGTTTGACTGAAGATAATTGAGCTTCTCCATCACCTCAAATACAGTCAGTATGATTCCTGTGTATTCATTCCATCTGGCGAGGTCCACATGTATAGTTGCCATTTATGTTGTTGAAAAAGTATTTGCAATCACTAAATCCTCGGTTTTACAAAATTTATGCAATCTCCAGCAGCATTTCTAGCACGAAGGCCATATTTTCCAACTACTGGTGATTCTTCGTTTCCACTTTGGCATTCCAATCACCAGTAATAATCAATACATCTTGTTCGTGTGTTTGGTCAATTTCAGATTGTGGAAGTTGGTTAAAAAAAAAAAAAATCTTCAATTTCTTCTTCTTCGGCTTTAGTTGTTGGTACATAAATTTGAATAATATTTGAATTAGCTGGTCTTCCTTGTAGCATATAGATATTATCCTATCACTGACAACATTGTACTTCAGGATAGATCTTGAAATGTTCTTTTTGACAATAAATGCAATGCCATTTCTCTTCAATTTGTTATGCCTGGCACAGTAGATCATATGATGGTCTGATTCTAATTGACCAATACCATTCTATTTCAGCTCATGATGCTAGGATATTGACAGCATCCAATATTCCTAGATTCATACTTCATACATTCCATGTTCCAATTATTAATGAATGTTTGTCACTGTTTTTTCTCATTTTGAATCATGCCACACCAGCAAATAAAGGTCCTGACAGCTTTACTCTGTCCATGTCATTAAGGTCGGCTCTACTTTGAGGAGGCAGCTCTTCCCCAGTCATATTTTGAGGGCCTTCCATCCTGAGTGGTTCATCTTCTGGCAGTATATCAGACACTGTTTCTTGAGGTTTTCAGTGGCCAACTTTTTCAGAAGTAGACGACCCTTTCCTTCTTCCCAGTCTGTCTTAGTGTGGAAGCTCTGCTGAAACCTGCCCACCATGGATGACCCTGCTGGTATTTGGAGTAATTAGTGGCATAACTTCCAGCCTCACAGCATTACGCAAGCCACCAGAATATGACAAACTGACAGATGAGTGGTGGAATGGATTATTACTCAGTTTTAAAGAGAAATGAAGGCCTGATACATGCTACAACATGGATGAATTTTGAAAACATTATGCAGGGTAAAATAAGTCAGTCACAAAAAGATCTTATATGATCCCACTGATAGGAAATATCTAGAATAATCAAGTATATAGAAACCAAAGTTCATTAGTGGTTACAAGCAGCAGGGGGTGGCGGGGAATAGAGGAAGTAATTGCTCAGAGGGCACTGAATTTCTGTTAAGAGTGATGGAAAAATTCGTTTGTACAATGTCATTGAATTGTACACCAGGGCTTTGAACCAGTTCATTCTGGTTTGACCTCCTTATGAGAATTTATATTTCTACCCGGATACGGTGAATCAGAATCTCTATTTTAGCAAGATCCCCAGGTGATTCTTACAGATCCCTAGGTGATTAGTATGTACACATCTTACTACAATCTTTTTTTAAGTGTGAATTCTGATTCAGTATACCTGGGATAGAAATGAAAATTCTGAGCAGAGGTTGAATGGAAATGAACTAATTCTAAGCCTGCTGTACATGTAAAAAATGTTGGAATGACCTGTTTTGTCTATATAGATAGATACATAGATATGTATGTGCATGTATGTCTATATATATATATTTATATATTTTATATATATATATTTATATATATATATATTTATATGAAACACACACACACACACATACACATATATTGCTACAATAAAAGGAAAGAAAAACAATTATTCTGATAGAGTAAAATTGCTTTTGATAACTAGGAGTAATAACCTTATTGTAAGGTCTCTGCCTTTTAACTTTTAAATATATAAACTTGAAAATCAAGGAAGTTGTGATCATTTGATCATTTGAGACTAATATACCATATATCAAATGCATATTTTGAATAAGTTACAAATAATAGTTTGATAGCTGCTTTTTTGAATGGAGAACTTTTATCATAAACTTCTGTTCTTTTATAGATTATGGAGCTTTGTGGTGCAACAAGACTTGGTTATTTTGGAAGAAGTCAGTTTTATATTGCTTTGAAACTTGTAGCTGTTGCCCAGTCTGGTTTCCCGTTAAGAGTGGAAAGTATAAATACAGGTAAATAAGGGATGCATCAGTAACTGAAATGCAAATAGACTTCTAATCACAAAGTTAATAGAATCCTTGACTCTGATATTATAATGATGTTTGTGACTTTGAGTGAAGTGGCATTCCCTCTTCTAGTTTGTGAGTATTAGAAAAATATAAGTAAAATTCTTTACAGCATATAATACATATTTCATAGTAATGTAAGTACTGTTCAGATGGTGATTTTTTTCAGAATTAATTTACTAAATATTACAATATATGACTTCTTTATTTTCATCATTTCTGGTAACTAAGTAAAAAACAACACTGTGCTTTGTGTTTTCTTTGAGAATGCTGAGAAGGCTACATTTGGAATTACTGTATTTTTGTACCATAGTGTGTGGATTATATGATTGCTTGGTTGGTATTCACCCCCTTGTGTTAGTTTCCTGTGTGCTATGCATGTTATATGCACTTGTGCATTATTTTCATGGACTCATTATATGGAGAAAAATACGGTAGAAATATCAAATGACCAAAACATTCAGATCAATAGAGATGAATGTTAAAATATTAACAGAAATCTGGCCTCCTTGTAAGTGTCACCTGTGATCATTGATTTTTCAATTATGTGGAATTAACAAGCATAAGGACTTACATGCAGTGGACATTTCATAAATAGCTGTTGTTCTTATACCTTAAAACAACTCACTGCTGTCGAGTCAGATCCCGTTTACAGCGACCCCTCTTTGGCTTCTGAGGCAGTATCTCTACAAAAGTAGATTGCCCAACCTTCCTTCTGAGGAGTGGCTGGTGGGTTTGAACTGCCAACCTTCTGGTTAACAGTCAGATGCCTTAGGCACTCTGCCAACCATTTACTCCTCGGTAGAAGGACATTCTAAAATGCATCTACATTCTGAGATAGATGATCATCTACGTTTTGTAGTAGACATTATGTCCCTGTTGTTTCTGTACTGATTTGGACAAAATTTATTTCTAATGTCTAATTAATCTCTTGGGAGCTCTGGTAGCATAGTGCCTAAGGCACTTGACTGCTAAGCAGAAGCTGGTGGTTCAAACCCACCAGCCACTCCTCAGAAGGAAGGTTGGGCAATCTACTTTGATAGTGATACTGCCTCGGAAACTCAAGGAGGGGTCGCTATGAGTCGGGCCCAACTCGATGGCACATAACAACAAAACAGTTAATCTCTTATTTCAGTTTTTAACGTGAGTCCTTTTTTAATTTTAAACTAATAAATATTTATGTGGTTAACAGTGAAGGACCTTCCTCTGCCAAGATTTGTAGCTTCAAAGAATGAACAAGAATTTCGCCATGCAGCCTCATACTCTTCAGATTCTGAAAATCAGGGATCATATTCTGGTGTAATTCCTCCACCACCTGGCAGGGGACAGGTGAAAAAGGGATCTGTAAGCCATGATGCTGTCCAGCCTCGCACATCTGCAGAGCAACAGGTAATCAGATGTTACGAGTTGATGCCCTGTGTAATGCTTGAACCAAAATTTTCAATGTGTGCTTTAGTAATTAAAATACTACCTTAAAATTAAATTTTTAAAATAATAATACAGTAAGTTCCCAAGTTAGGAAATCTGACTTAAAGACAACTCCTTCTTGCCCTTTAGTGTTATGTAAATTTGCCCTCACTTTGAAACAATTAAGGAGCTCTGGTGTCAAGTGGTTAAAGCATCCAGCTGCTAGCCCAGAGGTTGACAGTTTGAACCTACAAGCTGCTCCACAGGAGAAATGGGGCAGTCTCCTTCATAAAGATTTACGCCTTGGAAACCCTATGGGGAAGTTCGACTCTGCCCTGTAGGGTCACTATGAGTCGGCATCAACTAGATGGAAATTGTTTGGTGGTTTTTGATTGAAACAGTTGAACCGTCCATACTCACAACAAATTCTTCATCACCCTCACCTGCTGCATAAGCAGCTTTTAAATCAGTGAAGAGGCTCAAACCTTTTCTTGAACTAATGCAAGGCAAAAGAAGAACACTATGCACCTGTTCCACCTACAGATTTGATTTAAAGACACAGGAACAGATCTCATTCATAACTTGGGGACTGTATTTTTTTTAGGAACCTACATCCCCAGTAGTTTCACCACAGCAGTCTCCGCCAGCTTCTCCACACACATGGAGGAAGCACAACCGTCATCCCAGTGGGGGAAATAGTGAGAGGCCTCTTGGAGGACCTGGACCGTTTTGGTCACCATTTGGTGAAGCACAATCAGGTATTTGGAAGTTCTAACTTAGAAGTGACGATTACTTTGCGTTGTAAGTTGAAGGGAACTTGGGAACTGTTCTTATAGAGTTATCTCCAAGACAGTGATCAGTTGTAAGTTAAGTGCCTTGAACAGAAGCACAGTCAACTACGAAAGTTTGTAGCAGATGTATTACTTTGAAAAGTGGTAACTACATTTACTTCTATCTGTGATGCTTAGAAGGAGCCATGGTAGCACAGCGGTTTAAATGCTCAGCTTCAGAACAAAGGGTTGGCCATTCGAACCCAGCCAGTACCTCCACAGGGAAAGACCTGGTAATCGGTAAAGATTACAGCCAGAAAACCCTGTGGGGGAGTTCTGCTCCATCACATTGGGTCGTTATCAGTTGGAATTGACTAGACAGCACCAAATAAAACAACATGATGTTCAGGGAAATGTTTATGCATATTTGATTCTTTGAAGCTAAAATGAATAAATAATGATACTAGTTTTATTATTGGCAAGGAAACAAGATGTGTAATATTTAATCAAATAGAAAAGATTCCATTTTGGGAGTTGTTGGATTTCTTCAAAGTAGAGTTTAAAAGAAAACTTTTACAGTATGTATGTTTCACTGTGTTACAATCGTAAGTTAATACTTGGGAGCTTCTGTCCTTCACAAGTGAGTCAGCATGCTTATCTGTTTCTCTTAGGTTCTTCTGCTGGTGATGCAGTGTGGACAGGTCATTCCCCACCTCCACCTCAAGAAAACTGGGTCAGTTTTGCAGATACACCACCAGCCAGTACTCTTTTAGCCATGCATCCTGCTTCTGTCCAGGTGTGACATTTTATTGGTATTGCATTTTTATTTGCTTCATTCAAGGTATTGCTGCAGTCATTATTTTTATACTTTGTCGTTGCAATTGTATAAATGCAGGCTCACTGTTGTATAAAGAGCAGAACCCTACTGTGCTTTTTCTTCAAGTCATTGGAATGTTTCACTGAAGATTTTAGCTGATTTTCTTTCTGTTTTCTAAGTCTCTAAGGAAGTTTTAAAAGATTTTGCATCTAGGAATGTATTTGCTTGGCTTTCTTGGCACATTTTTCATAACTTTCTGTTGCTTACATAATTGCTATCATTTCTGTACATTTATATATCACTGCAAAAACACATCTAGTAACCTGATTAAACAGTGTGTATAGTTTGCTGATGAGTTTGTGAAGACTTATTTTGTAAACATCCACAAAAAGTAAGTTTTACTTTCAAAGATAAGTCACCTAGTACCTTGGTCCATATAATCATATAGATAGAGACTATACTGAGGAAAAAATGTTTCATTACAGGACCAGACAACAGTACGAACTGTAGCATCAGCTACAACTGCCAATGAAATTCGTAGGCAATCCAGTAGTTATGATGATCCCTGGAAAATAACAGATGAACAAAGACAGTATTATGTAAATCAGTTTAAAACCATTCAGCCTGATCTAAATGGATTTATTCCAGGTGAGTTGTTACAAACAGAAATTCTTCTAGATGTGACAGGACAAAGTCTCAGTTTCATAATCTCCAAGGCATTGTGTTATTGGTTATATGTAATTGCAAAAGATAATTAATTCTCAGATTGTTTGTCTAAAAAAGAGTCTGTAATCACTGGGGACCAAAAACATGACATAAACACATATTAAGATTACCTTTTTCCCCAATGAGAAAAATCTAATGACTCATACCTCACATTTTTTTCTTGAATCTACAAGTACAAGATAACATTAAACACTACTGTTTTAATATTTCAGGATCCGCAGCTAAAGAGTTTTTTACAAAATCAAAACTTCCTATTCTTGAACTTTCTCATATATGGTAAGTGTACCATTCAGTTGGGTAATATGGGTTATTTCAAAGGAATTTCCATCAGGTAGATTTGGAACTCTGTAAAATAAACTGTAGACTAGCTTCTTCAAAAATGTTCTCAAAGAACGCAGCATTGCCTCAGGACAGCCAGCTTCTCTCCCACTCTCTAAAAAAGAATGATGTGATCCTAGTGCAGTAGCTCTTGGCAAAGAATGAATTAAAATTCTTTAAACTGTGTAAGTTATTTCTTGTTGCTAGCATAATGGTATTGCATGAAATCAAAACTAGTTTGCTCATAAATGGTTACGTTTATCCCCCTTTAAAAAAAATGATCAGTCTGTACTGAGACATGTGCTTCCATATGGTGTTTAGCACCTATTTTAAACAGACTGAGACTTAGGATAGTTGCCATATGATTAGAATTATTCATTAGATCACATATCACAACCATCAATTACTTTTAAAAATAATAATAAACATAAATGTTACTTTTAATTTTCAGTATATTTCTCTGTGAAGTCAGTCCACAGGTTATGAGCATCTGCCTTACAGACAGCCTGTAGTTATGAACAAAACCCTGCACTCAAAGCCTATTACATTAACAATTTAAGATATAAACAATGGTTTATAGTAAGAAACAAGCACTACTTTGTGACATGCTTCAAAACATTATTATTACTGTGTTATTGTATTGAAGATGTTTTAGTGTATCTGGAAGTATTTCTTTAATACATTTAATGCATTGAGAGGTACACTATTTACTGTAAACCAGGACAAATATTACGAGCTCTGGTAGCGTAGTGCCTAAGGCATTTGACTGCTAACCAGAAAGCTGGCAGTTCAGACCCACCAGTCACTCCTCAGAAGGATGATTGGGCAGTCTACATCCTTAGAGATACTGCCTCAGAAACTCAAGGAGGTGTCACTATGAGTCGAATCAAAGCAACAACAGTGTGTTTTTTTTAATTTATTTAAAGACAAACATATGGCTAAATGATGTTAGATATGAGCTATATATGTAGTTGTTTCGACTTATATACAAAGACAACTTAAAGATAGATTTAGGAACAGAAATTGTTCATGATGCAGTTTACAGTTATTGCTTATATTCCAGAGTATTTTGTTAATAGGTTTTTAATAGCACAGAATACTATAGCAGGAAGTAGGCAGATAATTCTTAAAACTGAAAAATCAAGAACTAGTGAGACTAACATGCTATTTATACTTACATTGAAAAATAGTTCCCTCTGGGTCTAGGAAATGGCAGGTATGCAGGGAAGGGCTGCTATTATTTTTTGTATCAAGCCTTATAATTCTCTTTGGTGCTGTAAAGTTACATACATGTAGAACTTTGATAACAATAAAAACAATTTTTAAGAAATTCAGTGACTTAATACATAAGCCTTTCTTTAAGTTCTGTTGCTAAAAATGCACATGGGTTAAAGGTCATTTTTCATGTCCTTATTTATTAGAGCTGTTGACATTTTATTTTGAGAATTTGCAAACATACCAAAAAATTTAAAGAATAGTACCATAAACCACCCCTATTCTTTCTTATAGTTAACATTTTGCTAATTACTGATTTTTTTGTACTTTCTCTGGGAAGATATTTCTCTTTCTTCTTTTGGAGAAATAAAGGGGATCCAGAGTGGAATTTGATTGTATTCATAATGAGTTTGTCTTCCAGGGAACTCTCAGACTTTGATAAAGATGGTGCGTTGACCCTGGATGAGTTTTGTGCTGCTTTTCATCTGGTAGTTGCTAGGAAGAATGGCTATGACTTACCTGAAAAACTACCTGAAAGCTTAATGCCCAAACTAATTGATTTGGAAGATTCAGCAGGTAAGATTCAGAACTAAAGAGAGCTGATGGCATGCTTTAATAAACGTGATGCTTGATTATTAAAGCAAAATCAAGATAATAATACATAATGGCTTAGAATTTCATTAGGCGCACATTGATTTGCTATCAGAATAACTTGTACAGACTGAATTTGGATTAGTGATTTGTCTTATTTAATCAACTTTAAAAAATAGAAATAAGGAATAGATGCCACTGCTTCACCTTCATGCCTGTGACTTGCTGAGATTTGAAGAGCATTTCACAGCCTTCTTATCTTAAAAACCCATTGCTGTCAGGAGTCAATTCCTATTTATAGGAAGCCTGTTAGGGCAGAGTAGAACTGCCCTCTAGGGTTTCCAAGGCTGTAAATCTTTACAGAAACAGATGGCCACATCTTTCTCCCACAGAACGGCTGGAGGTTCACAGCTTAGCTCTTAACTGCTGCATCACCAGGGCTCCTTGTTATCCTGCAGTCCTTTAATGACGTTATGTATTGTCTGCAGTGGGTGAAGCAGCTAGTTCTCATTATAAACATTTTTTTCCATTTCATTCATCTTAATTTGTTGATATTAAATGCCTTAATTTGTTGAAGGTAAATGCATTTCGTTCATCTTAATTTGTTGAAGGTAAAAAATATGTACCATTAGACCTTTGCAGTCTATAAGCATGTTCCTTTGAAAAGCCAAACTCTTTTCTGCAGGAAAATATTTTCTAGGAAATCAAGACATTTTGTGTTTGATTTTAGACAGTGCCATTTATCATGTTAACAAGAAGGGGGAGACCCCTGAGTTCTTGATGGGTGCTTTGGTGAATGTTAATCTTTGCTAGAAGATTTCTTTAAAAGGAAGAAGAATCTAAGGGATATAAAAGTAGTAATTTTTTCATAAATTCTGAGTGAATGAAAGATAATCTGTTAAGTATTTAATGTTAACTTCTTAATGAGCTAAATTAAAACCAAATTTGATTTTCAGTGATCCTATCTAAATTCTTTTGGGTATTTGGTCAGATGTATTATTATTGCTTAGGTGGTACATAGTATGCTCTCTGAACTCTAAGCAGGAACTTTATAGCTTTAAAGGGGACATTAAAACAGAAATTGGCTCAGGAAAGGGCATTGATCTGCCAGACGATAGATAGTTTCCATTCAACCCAGAAATGCGTATTGGCTGACTTTATTGTCTGAATCAGACAGTTAGAATCATATGCATAAAATTACTGCCATGAACAGAACAGTCCGCTTGAAGTCAGGGATCTGGGTTTTGCTGCTTCTGGCTATGCTAATTACTCCCGAGACCCTGGGGCGTGTTACAACCATTTTTCTCTTGTTTCTCCACCTGAAATGTGGATTAGAAGCCATTTGTGTAGCAGAGCCTGAATCACCCATCGACCTTTGAAATTTACCAATGAATTGATTTTTAGTCTTTAGTGTTTTAATTTTTTAGAATATTTTCTCCTGTAAGTTTTCTAAAATTTCCTGATTATATGAGGTGGTTATTAAGCTTTCTTTAGCCTCTAGCTTGATCTGAAAGTTACGTATCTTTGGGACGCAGTTTCGCTTCACAGTACGTTGATTTAGCTATATAAGAAAGAAATTTAAAACGCAAAAAATTTCTATTTAACTCATTTGATAGTAGCTAAAAAGGAAGAGATTATGGTAGCTTCAAACTTTCTGTGTGGTTAAAAATCAGGGCTTGTATCTAGTGTTTATATGACTTTAAGCCTTTGAAGCTATAACACAGTAGTTACAAGAAAATGAATCAGGCTTACTCTGCCGTTGCCGTTTTGTAGAAGCCTATCTGACTTTGTCATCTGTTGAATTCATGTCAGTGGGTCTGGCTTTTGCATGTAGTTAGTGGGTTTCTTTTTCTTTGATTTAAATAAAACCTGTTCCTCGGTAAATTTATCTACTGCCTGAAATTGAAGGATGATAGTGCTGAAAGTTCTTTTCTGGACATTTGCCCTTCTTTTGGTCTAATTTTATACTGTTGGATCTGTTTAGCAGAGGAAGACTGGTTTGTTTTTTCCCATTTTTTTTGCCTGCTTATGTCTTTGCACTGTTGATCTAACTATAATGTTAAAAGTGTCACAGACTCAAGTAGTTTTTCCCTCCCAAGCATATTATTACATAGTTTTCTAATCAAGTTATTGTGAACATTTTGACCGCACAGTATTCGATTCAGACCTGCTTTACCAGTTTATAAAAGGTAAATTTTGGGGTTCTGTCAGTTGTGGGGAGGACTGAGCTGCTATAATCAATAATCTTTTTTCTTCTATTACCAGCCTAACTCACGTATGACACAAATGTGACTATAGAAATTGCCCTATGAAACTAGTTGTCATTTAGTATCTGTGAAAATAAATAGGTATGATTATAGAAAGTCATAGTAAAAGGGGAAAAAACAAACACCTTCTTTTGGCTCATGTGATGAGAATTTAACCTAACAATATTCCCTCTGTGGACCTTTTCTGACTTGCAGCAGACGTGGTATCTCCCTTCTCTGATCTCATAGAATCTATGAGCTGTTTTATTATGGCACATGTCACATTGAATCCCATTTCTTTATTCCTTTTTCTATACTACACTCTGGGTTCCTTGGGGGAAAAAAAAGATGTATCATATTTATTGTTAAAACCTCAGAACTTTGGCAGACACGTAGTAAGTTGCTTAGTAAATACGTATTGAATGAATGTGTGCTAAATGTGTGCTGTTTTCAAGGTAAAATTCTTTTTCACATATTTCCATCTTTGAAAATACAGTCTTTTGCTCTAATAAGTTTGTGGTTGTTGGGAAGAATGAAAGTATTAGCCCCCCAAGTATTGTATACTTAAACTCCAAGTAGCTCTCACAAGCAAACGGGTGGTGATCAGCAGTGGATTATAGTTGCTTGGAGTAACAAGCTAGGCTTTCTGTACACATACAGACATAAGTGAAGGAGAAAAAAAAACAAGCCAAACTCACTGCCATTGAGTCAATTCCAGTTCAGAGCAACCCCCTTTGGTTTTCCGAGGCCATGAATCTTTATGGAAGTAGATTGCCTAGTATACCTTCCGTGGAGTAGCTGGTGGGTTTGAACCTCCAGCCTTCTGGTTAGCAGTCACATGCTTTAGGCACTATACCACCTTTTCTAAAATCATTTGAACAGACTTACTACAGGATTAAATAGCAGGTAAAATAGAACAACTGAAGATCATAGGCAGAAGAACTTCCGTAGATCTGAATTAATACATAACATCATTATGGATTTGGCAGCTAAAATAAATAAAAAGCGGAAATTGGTTTTCCCTGTCTTACAAAAACAAGTGTTCAAGTTAATGTGGTACCGTTCTGACAAGAATATGCCACGAATGGGATTGCTTGAACAAACAGGAGTTTATTCTCTTATATTTTGGAAACTTTAAGTCCAGGTTCAAAGTGCCGGGCTCTAGGGGCTAGGTGAAAGCCCGTCAGCCTTGGGCTTCAGCTCTGCCTCCTGCTCCTGGTCCACTGAAGCTAGAGACTTTTCTTCACTCAGACAGGAGACTGACAAGCCCGAGGTTGACAAGTAAAAAGGCACAGTCCCGGTATTACCAAACACACAGCAGGCCATTAATTCAAGTCCATTGAAAGTCCCAGGTTGGCAGAGCATGGCAGGCTGCTGAACAGCGACACAGCTACATGCAGGGCTCAAGCATGCCATAAGCTAGAGACCATTCCCTAAGCCTTTTCCTTATATATGGGAAGCAGACCACATCCCTAAGGCAGCTACTCAGCTGCTCATGGTAGATTCCACTATGGAGTTGATTATCAGTCTAATCGTGGGAAATACTACATCCAGCTGCCCAGCCACTCAACCAGGCCCAGCCAAGTTGACACACAAACTGAACTACTACATCAAGTATACAAAAATTTTTCTGGAGAAATGACTTTCTGAAGCTGATTTCAAGAAAGAATGTTTATCTTCTAAAAATGGTTTTCTTCTTTAGATAAAGTGGTAACAGTGGCCTGCTGACCTACCACAGTAATGTATCGTAAAGTTAAAACCCACGTATGTTGAGATTCTGTATACCTTATATTCATCTTACGCTCTGAAGAATCTTCTTTTTACCACAGTTGCAATTTTACATGTAGTGCAATTATTTGATAAGTATCTCTCTCACACTAGATTACAGGTTCTTGGGAGGGCAACTGGATTGGTTTTGTTCATTTTATCCCAGAGCCTGGCAAAGTACAAATTGAGCATATAAATAGGTGTTCACAGTTTTGAAAGGGCTAAATGCACGCATGAACCAGTGGTTTTTCACCGTTTTCTGTCTCCATACCCAATGCTCACATCTATTTCAAAGGGGGAACGGGGTACACTCCCTGTTTCCTCCTCTGTAATCATTGCTGTACACAGAAACGTCATTCTAAGCATGACTTCCAATGTGAAATTTTTAAAATCTAAGGGAAAGAAGTTATGTGGAACGTCTCATGAATAAAACAAAAACGAAACTCAAAATCCTTGGAAATCCAGACTTGAGACTTGCTTGATGCTTAGAGGAACCCTATTTCAATTCTTCCTTTTAGATTCTCGGTTAAAGAGCAGATACTCTACCCCCATTCCCCTGTGACAAAGAATAATGTGTTCCTAGTAGATTTAAGTTATGGATATGAAGACAACAAATTCATGTACACCCTTTCACCATACCATAGAGTTAATCATTAAGAGTTTCTCTTCTATCGATCTGTAAATTTTCAACCTATAAAAGCTACTCACACATGTGCATGTCTGCTTTGATGCAGATACAGTGATTTGTTTTTCTTTACTAATTAATACTGAAAGATGAATAATGGTGATGGTTGCACAATGTAGTCAATATACTAATGTCACTGAATTGTACACTTAAAAATGGCTAAAATGGCAAATGCTTTAATACATTTTACCACAGTAAAAAAAATTGGACATATTTGCACTTGATCAAATATAGAACTGTTACATTCTTTATCGTACAAAATGTTCCACAATATGGATCTACCTTAA